TGTCTCTGTCATGGAAATTTCTTACTTGATATGTTCAGCAAGGCTTGTTTTTAAGCACTGAAGTCAAGAGAAGCCAACATTCAGCCTATATAAGCAAGAGGAAAGCTGTGACCAGGCTATTTCAAGTAAACACAAAAGCAACATGTTTGTAAAACCAGAGAAGCACACTGTTAATCCATTAACTAAGAATAAAATGGCATTTGTGACATTAAAGTATAAAAGATGAAAAAGTTTTCATCTTGCATAATTTAGAGGTTTAGGGAATCTTATGTTCCTATTTTTTCAGGTTTTCTAGGTTTGTCAGCTGAATCCGTCAGAAATATGACCAAAAGGCATGTGACTGAAGTTTACAGACCATAGAATCAACAGCTGAATGTTGACCTGTTAACCAAATCCTGCAGTGCAAGACCTAGCGAACACTGGGAGCAATTAGTAGGAAATCAATATAAGACAGACAAAAATGGGCAGTGAGCTTCTGGAATTTGTACCCCAGGAGGCTACAGAAGCAGACAGTATCAGGAAGATCAAAAAAAGAAATTTAGGGACATCAGGACAGTAAGTAGGTGTTAAAATTATGTGCTCTCTAATAACCCTAGTATAATAGTTCTGAATGTTGTTGTGGTATAAAGGGAATAACTTCAGAAACTAGCCCTCGCAGTAGCTCTCCCAGAATGCATCTCCTACTGACACTATTGACACTGAACACAGGCTGTTGGTCTGGCACTGGGGCCTTCTTTAGTGTCCTTGGAATCTCCAGGAAACTTCATTTCCTGGGTTCTGTGCCCCATGGTAAGTAAACCGAACATCTTGTCTTGATAATCAGGTATACCTATCATATTGTACTCAGGAGACAAGATCACCTTTCCTGGCCATACTTCACACACATCATTTGTTCCCACTAGTGGTTTATCGTTTTCATCCACTTTAAATTACTCATAGTTTTTTTCAGTGTTTTGTGTGAGATCAGCCTCTTACTAACTATCTGCTCTCATTTCCCTGTACTCCTTTGGTTCTTTCTACATGTTTAATAAGTCCTTTCTTACCTGTCCATTCTCCTGCATCACAAGTGTTCTTTCAAGGCTTCTTGCGAGGTGTCCCTCCATGTGTCTGTGAACTGGCAGCTGTGTGAAGAGCAATAGGCTATACCAGTGCAGGGAGGTACGAGCATTTCTGATTAGGTACAGCAGACTGTGCCATGTTCCTTGCTCTAGGGCCAGTGCCAGCCTCATTGGACCAATGCTTATATTCATGCTAATCTTCTGTGGCATGCAATGTTTCTCCCTCCATTCAAATTTTCATCTAGTCCCAGCTTCATCAAATGAGATCTGCAGCAGCTAAGTCATATTAGAAAAAATTAGGCCATCAATCCATTATTAAACTGGAAAGTGTTTTATATTTTGTGTCTGCCCTCGGGGTGTCTCCAAACATTCCACAGCTGATCTGCCCTGAGTAGGAGAGGGCTGGGGTTTATGTGCTAAAAATGTGTACAGACACTAAGGGAATTGTGGGGTTTTGTGTAAAACATTTGATTTCCAGCCTTGCAACTAGCTAGAGCCAAGGCCTAGATGTTTGTCACTGCAATCTTTATGGTTCTGTTGGTCAAGGTGCTTTTGAAAAAAAATGTCCTGTTCTCTTTTAGGCAGGTAGCTGCTACATCTAAGAGGTAGTGCCAGTTTTGTAGTGTTGGGAAATTTTCCTGTGATGGTAATCAAGTTCCTTTTACTTGTGTTTGAGCAAAGACCAGCGTACAATTTTAGAAAATGTTACTTTTGTCACATGTTCTGCTCTTGACAATATATTCTATCCAGCACTCTCTGAAAATTAAAAATCTATCCTGAATTTTTATTGTATAGCGGTCTCTCTGTTTTAACCATGATGCTTGACAAAATGACCATCTTTTGTGTATTTTTATTAATTTCCTTTGTTAATCTTAGCTTTTTCAAAGAAAATAGATCTTTAGATTGAGATCCTTCATGCAGGTTATTTCACAGGACAGATGATGTTGGAAGGTGTGTCTGGCAATCATCTAATCCAACCCCCTACTCAAAGCAGGGGCAAGTACAGCTCAGGACCTTGTCAGACAGGCTTTGAATGCTTCTTAAGACAGAGATTCTACAAATTCTCTGGATAATTGGTTTCAATGTTCAATAACGCAGAGTTCTTAGCACCAAATCATTACTCTTTCAGATAGGTACAGTACAGGAAGCAAGACAGTAATGCATCCAAAATCATTAACTGATTGTCAGGATCTTGGCCTTGGTAACTAATTGGCTTTAGTGACTGATCCAGGCATTAGGAATATCTTTTCAAAGAACATGATTTACTATCAGAATGAAAAATTATTCCGGTTCTGGCTTTGATGTTGTTGTTCTAAGTGCTGAGGGGAAAGAAAGTATGGGGAGGATTGAATTTTCACACTTCAGATCACTTATTGCATTCTTGAAATACCACATTTGAATGTTTACTTTCTTGCCTCATCACTGCCTCAACATGTCACTTTGGATTTGGTGCAAGAAAGAGTTAATTTAAGGCAACTTGTGCAAACTGCTGCAGCTTAGGCTCAAAGCACAATGCCATTGGAAAAAATTGTCTTTGACTCATACTATCTGCAGCAGTTTGCACAAGTTGCCTTAAATTAACTCTTTCTTGCACCAAATCCAAAGTGACATGTTGAGGCAGTGATGAGGCAAGAAAGAGTTAATTTAAGGCAACTTGTGCAAACTGCTGCAGATAGTATGAGTCAAAGACAATTTTTTCCAATGGCATTGTGCTTTGAGCCTAAGCTGCAGAGGAACTGGCGTGCCAAGAGTTGAAAATAGACGTTTCTGTTTTGTGCACACTCAGCTTCCAAAGGCAGTGACTGGGGTAGAAAACCGATTTGAACATGAAATAAAGAGTTGCGCCGAGGAAGGAAAGAGTAATGACTATCCATGGCCAAAAACAGGTGGAGGGCACTGGATAAGATGCATGGCCTCTGTCTGTCCTTTCATGTTACTGTTGCTGACTCTCTGCCCTAAGATGACGTGTGTTGCCGCTCTTTAAATGGATGATTTGTTTTTTTATTTGCTTTCAGTTGCTAGATTGACATTACAGACGATACTCCTGAACTGTTGTACATCCTTTATAAATTGCTTTAAGATGTTTTAGTGAGATAAGACAAATAAAAATTGAAGTAATTATTGCTGCCTTTATCACCAGGGGAATTGGACAGCTGGCATTGATCTGTAAGAGACTAATTTCCATATTTTGTTATTACATTAACCCTTAGAATTCTTCTTGTTAATGATTTCAAAAAAAGTTTTCCTAATCAAAAGGTCATCCTCTGTAGTATGTAGTGCTTGAGAGACACAGAAGGGCAGAAGATCTATGAACACTGTCATTTTTATCTGATCAATAACATCTTACTTTATTAATAGTAATATCCCAGTATTTTACATTGCATCATATCAAGATTTTACTAACCACTTCAGAGACCTGCTTCTGAGTGAAATCTAGCAGTTAGTGAAGGGCATACCCGTAACTGCTTGGTTTGGGGCAAAAATTATGCACCCCTTTAAACCCTTGGCATTTATCTTAAATTTTTTAATTAAAATAATTATAAAAATTCTGTACTCATTGCTGTTTTGTAAGGAAAGAGATTGAATAAGGGCCTTATCTTGCTGTGTTGAGTGATACTTTCTGATGAGCTAAATTGTACCATTCGTCCAAAAGCCACAGTAATGGTAGCACAGAGACTGCTGTATTGCAGAGGGAATAACCTACTCTTTGCTATCTTCTTCTGGTTTCAGAATAAAGCCTGAGAAATCAAAGAAGGAATTTTTAACAATTAAAAAGAACTAGAGGAGGTAAAAAGTTGAATTTGTTTAAAAAAGTGTACCAAACAACATGTCATTTTCAAGGTAGTATCAATGCACCTCCAGTTTGATTTGTTGGTATTGGCCAGGGCACCTTTAGATAACAAATGTATATACTGGGAATCAAGAGTCAGTGTAAGGCTACTAAAAGACTCTTCTCTTGGTGAAGTGGTGCAGTGATGAAGACCAAAAAAAGTAAGTTTTGGGTTTCTTCCTCAGGTAAAGCACTGCTCAATGCTTTGTTTCTCTGCTTGATCCAAATACTTCCTTAGTGTTGGCTCAGCCAGTGTACAGCCTTCCTCCTGTTTATTTATAGTATAGTGATGCCCAAAAGATGGAGTTAGAGTTCCACTAGCAGAATCTGGGGAATGTAGATTGATTGATTTTTTAGCATCTACAATCTGCCTTGGACTCTAGTTCAACATTAACCTAAGAGTAAAGATAAGTCACAAACTGGGAGTAATAGCCTGCAAAGACCATAGGCTCCTTATAGTGGAGTAGATGTCTTTTTATAGTTGGACAAAATATTTTTCAGGAATGATTCAGATATCATTGATAAAAATCTCTGGCTTTTTTTTTTCTTCTGTTTTGCTGTGATAGTTTACTGTTGAGAGGGATTTGGAAGGCTGAACCATAAAGTAGAGAACCATATTGGGGAATGATGCTGTTACACTATAGATATATCTGAATTGCAACAATATTCATCCTCGGTATATCTGAAATTGATTTAATTTGTGAAGTCTACTGTTACTGGTTTCTTGACAGTAATACAGCTGATTGAATAGAGATGAGGGTCTTCTTAGGCACCTGTGTCAATTGTAGACTTATAGGGGATATCCTGCCTGTGGGAAACCAACTGACACTGAAGAACAGCAATTGGTTGTCCCAAATGGCATAAGTTACCTATTTTAAATGCCTGTATCTCTCAAAAAAACACCAAAACAATACAGAAAATTGAAAGAAAAGGCAGGAGTGGTGTACGGATCTCTAACAATAAGGAAGTATCTAACTGATGAAACAGTATCTTCTCAGGCTGAGGTCCTTCAGGGTTGAGAATCTTTTCTGTAGTAAATTATATTGTCAGAGTGAGACTATTGCATTAATGGAAATCCTTGGGTGATTTTTCATTCTATCTTTTGCACCCAGGCCGTGCTTTGCTGAGACTTACTGACAAAAAGCTTGAACGAATGGGTATTGCCCAGGAAAGCCTGCGACAGCACATTCTGCAGCAAGTCCTTCAGCTGAAGGTGAGAGAAGAAGTCCGAAACCTCCAGCTGCTTACACAAGGTATGAAAAACAATTTTGATACAGACAGTTACTGAGATCAGGTAGGAGACATTTGCCTGAGGGCATAAAAGGTGACTTGACGTTCTCCTGCAAGCAATGGTGCATGAAAATGTCTCATGGATTCCACATGCTTTCCAAGGGGGGAACAAAAGGTAAAATAATGCACAAATAAATAGAGATGTTCAGCTGCCTGTTTTGCATGATCAATAGGCTTGATGGTAGTCACTTAACTGTCTGCTTACTCAGGTGAAAGTAATTACATATAAAGGGCACAGGCAGTGAACATACTGTCTTTAAAAACATTGCACATTTTGCATTAATTGTTTACTTTAAGTGTTAGATAAAAAGTAATTTCTGTAACCTATTTTATGGTAAGAGTTGTCAGTGGAAAATTACCTGTTAGACTCTGTTTTTTTGCAGAGGACTGATTCCTTCTTCAGGAAGGAGTAATTTTATTGACTTGAATAGAGTTGCTTGTAATGTATGCTGCTAAGAAAATGGAAAACTGGGCTCAGTATGGAGTCTAGATTAGAAGGCAGGGAAGGAGAAGTAACAGAAAGGTTGTACATATTTTCCAAATGAGGTTAAGATGTTTTATGATGACTTGTGTTGCTAGCTCTCTATAAAGGCTTTTAAATGGCTGTGGTAACATGGAAGAAAAGCAATTATTGTGGTAGTACTGTAAAGGAACATTTAGAGATCCTCTACTATATGTCTGCAATACTTTCTCAATGTTAAATGTTGTTTGGTAGTCCAGTGAGATAGCATAAACCACATACTTCTGTGGTGTTTTGGTTCGGTGCCCGTTATATGTCACATCATATGAAAAAAATAGAGTTCTCCAGAACATGCAGTGTATTTTTAACAAAATGTCCTTCACACATGACATTATGTTCCTAATTAAGCCTTGCTCACTGTTTGGGGAAAAAACTCTCTGATTAGTTGAGTAAGCTGCATTTTATCTGAAAGAGCTGATGTCTCAACTGAATTGTTCCTTCAGGCTTGGTGTCTTGTGGATTGTGATGAGGAGTTCTAGGGCTCCTTCATCTTGCCATGAGCTGTAAATATGAGCTCACCTCATCTTATGTCATTTCAAAGGCAGTACACCTGCTGAAGCATAATGTCCTCCCCAAATGTTTAGAACTGTTCTTTTTCCTTTTATCCATTATTCCTCCTCTTCAGAGCTGGCCAGGTTTTCTCTTCCCCTGCATCTGGAGGGTTTGATGGACTGTGTGAAGTTCTGGTCACCCACCGGCACTGTTATTGGCCTGCTTATGAAAGTTGGGATTTGACTGATATGGGACAATGAAGACCCACTAGCTATAAATTTGGATCAGTTGATCACTGCAGTCCAGATAAACCTGTAGCTGGCATTGAGAACTACATGTTTCCTGGCTTCTCCTTTATTGTTCCTCTCTGGTTCTCCTATGGACACATCAACTGGTGTATGACTTATGATCAAGTCAGACAGTGGTGACTGCCATTTCAAGGACTTTGTGGCAGCATCATGTAAGATCTATTCCTTGCTTATGCAGTTGAGGATACAAGTTTGGACTTTGGTAAAAGGATGCTGGACTATGAAGGATGGGCTAGGGATAGATGCATGGATGTGTGTTTAATGTAGTCTCTCTCTTCCATGTAGAAGGAACATTGTTATTAAGTTTGATCCCATAAAGGCAAGCCATCATATGCTTTATGAAAGGCAGTACAAGCTTAACAAAAAGCCAGTGGTGTGCAGCTCTAGCTGTCTTCCCCCACAGTGGTGCTAGCTGTTGTGCTGTACTTCAGTGTCACTCCAATATATCCTTGGTGAAATTGCTTGAATTGAGAATTTCTGTCAAAAGAATTTAATCCTCTCTTTGTAGTTTGTTGTAGCTTAACCATGTGAGCAAGTACCCACAGCTGGTAATGGAGCGGGTGAGTTAAGTGAGACAAAACACACTGCATTCAGAGCTATGGTTTTTAGGGCTGGGTGGCTGCTGGTGTAACCACCAGCCACAAGAGCTTGTTGTTGCCCTGTGTTTCAGAGCTCAGCTGGGAGTGGCTGTGTGAGTGAGCATGAGCAACCTGTCCTTGAGAGGAAGAAAACAGTACAAAACAATAGAAATACAATTTTAATAAACAAATCTGTGAATGGACCTCATGGACTGTAAAACCTCGTCTGAAAGTCAGAAGCCAGCCATCTTCATGTGCTATTGGTCCACCAAAGATGGTATGAGAGCAGACACCTTTCAGGTGTATAAAAATAGAGTAAGCAGAGTGTTTTAAAACTCTTTTAAAAAACCAGAAGAACCAAAATTGTGTTTATTTTCATCTTAAATAGAGCTGAAGTTATGGGGCAGAACAACAGTTTGTAAGAACGTTCCTCTGTGCATCAAAGCTGTGTTGATTGTATGGTTCCAGAGTGGGGGGACAATTAAGTGACAGGATAACAGCAGTATTCCTGCCCCTTATTGCTTCATTTACACCAAGTTGGAGCATGTGTCTGTTGAAAATACTTGCTTAAAAGTACTAAGGTTGGAATGTTATTTCTCCACTGTAGTGCAGTCTGTAAAGCTGCTTGTATGTCAGTTGTTCTCCAAAACTGGTTCTGTCCCTTTTGCTGGTTTCTTCAGACTGTGTCCACTCATATCCTTATTATGATTTATATGTTCCCAATCCAGGTTGTTACTGGAATAGGTTTCTGTAAGTGGTTTTTTGGTTTGGGGAACACTTGGAGAACATTTTTTCTCTGAAAAGCAGTTTCTGCCTTCTGGAAATTCCACTTGCAAAGTGGAGGTCACACTGTAGCTATTGCTGCACTGTGCTTTACTGTCCTCTAAAAAGTCCTCCAAAAAGAGGGGGAAAAAAAGCCCTCTGTCTGTCTCTCAGTGCACAGCTCAGGAGATTGTTAGGTGAAAGAAGCTGTTAAAACCCATTTCTGAATTAATGTAGCACACAAGCTGGGTTGCAAGCAATGAGGTCCTAATTCAGAGCCCATTGATGTCAGCAAAAAGACTTCCACTGACTTTAGTTCATACCCCAGTTGAAACTGGAGCAAGCAGGGAAAGTTTTTAAAAAGCATTATATAATACTTACCAGATACTTTAAGTGGTTTTGTATTCTGTTGTCTGTAGAGAAAGTTAAACTCATTTTAAAAACGCAATAGCATTCTTTTCTATTCCTATTGCAGAAAATGACTTAAAACTGTTTCATTCTTCTTCATTCAAGATACCATCCAGTCTGTTCTGGGGATCTTAAAGCCAGAATACTATGTGATTGTGTGTTTGAAGTCTTGTCTTCAGTTTTAGGAAGACTTTTCTTTGGAGCAAGAACTGCCTGATTGAGGCTATTATTGGCAGAAACACTATCCAGCCTCCACTAGGATAGAAGGGCACAGGCCTAACTACTGATCTGTGCTTTTTTTCTCTGACTTAGTGATGTTGAGGAACTAATTTGACAAAATATCTTCCAGTGTCTCTTGGGGAGAGCTGCACACTGTTGGAAACACCATTATTATACTGTTATCACTGTAAGCCTGAGTTGAAAGATTTTTTTTAAAAAAAAACATTACATAACTACACAGAGAAGGAAGAAGTTATTTTGAGATTTCTCAATGCAAGTCCTGCTTTGGGCTAACATAGAAGAGACTGTCCTCAAAGTGGTAGAGCAGTGCTGTGTGATTCTGAGCAAAGTATCCACAGACAGCAATCTGCTCAAAGGGCTGAGCTGGAGAAGCATTTTTGGATTTGGACTATATGATGTCTGCATTTAAGATGATGTTGGGCCCCTAAGCTCCTCTGTGAGTTTCATGTAGGGCAAAGTGCTACATGAATATATTGCCAGGCCATTATTTCTCCTGCTAGCAAAATGTGTTTGAATAAAGCTTTGTGCTCCATTGAAAATCATCTCAGCAGTTGATACCTGTTGAAATTATTTCCTCAGTAAGTTTTCTGCTCATTCTGCACTGATGCTCAGCTGCTGAAATACATATGTGCCCAATGGTAGTCACAATAAGATCCTTCCCGCCTTCCTGCCTTCCTCCCTCCCTTTCTTCTTATTTCCAACATACTTCCATTCAAAACCTGTAAAGGTAACCCTAGCACTGTATTCTTCCAGGAAAGGAACTCAAGGACCATCAAAGTTGCATCTCATCTTCCTCTAAGCTCAAGAGCAATGCATCCCAACAAAGAGGAAGTCAGACATGAACCTGTTGGAGTGAGTACAGATGAGGGCCATGATGATGATCAGAGGGGTGGAGCACCTCTTCTGTGAAGAGAGGCTGAGAGAGTTGGGCTTCTTCAGCCTGGAGAAGAGAAGGCTCCAGGAAGACCTTATAGCAGCCTTCTAGTACCCAAAGGGCACCTACAAGGAGCTGGAGAGGGACTTTTAGGGACACATGGTGATAAGGCAAGGGCTAATGGCTTCAAAAGGAAAGAGGGTGGGTTTAGGTAGGACACAAGGAAGAAATTCTTTACTGTGAGGGTGGTGAGGCACTGGTGCAGGTTGTCCAGAGAGCTGTGGCTGCCCCATCCCTGGAAGTGTTCAAGGCCAGATTGGATGGGGCTTTGAGCAACCTGGTCTAGTGCAAGATGTTCTTGCCTAGGTCAGGAGTGTTGGATCTAGATGATCTTTAAGGTTCCTTCCAACCCAAACCATTCTATGATTCTATAACTCTGAGCAAAGAACAAGTAAGAGCCGTTTATTCTAGTGATGGATCATTCACTTGGTTTTAGAGGAACTTTTTAACAGAAACATTGTCTTCAGGGCGCGTGTGGTGAGTAAGTCAGGACCATGAAACCCTCCCTAGTCAAAGTGTTTTACAAGGATTTTGAGAGCATTATCAGCCTGTTAATACTAAAGGCAGGCTTCATGAAAATTTGAGCTATTTGGCACTGAACTCTCCCAGTCTGTCAGAAATGTAATGCTACTTCCTGTTCACCTTATCCACTTTTACCTTCTGAATGTAAAGTTGGGAGGAACCTGAGCACTGTCATTCCAGCTTGCATCACTGCATGTGA